GTTTCACAATGATAAATAAACTTTCATTTTAAAACTCCAGCACAGATCTCCTCATTCTAGTTGAAATAGAAAAAGACCCAAACTTACCATGGGATCCCCAAGTTTGCTGAAAAAAACTGTACTTTGAGGGTCTTATGGAAGACCGTAAGGGTCGGAGCTAACCTCACCTTGCAACAGGTAATATTCCACAGGACTGTTGATGTAGCAGAAAAGTCTTTCTTCATTAATAGATTTATTTTGTGGATGGGACGAGCAGCAATCAATCAATCAATCAATCAATCAATCAATCAATCAGAATAGAGCTGGAAGGAACCTTGGAGGTCTTCTAATCCATCTTAACCTATACCATTTCAGACAAGTGACTGTCCAGTGTCTTCTTAAAACCTCCCGTGATGAAGCACCCACAATGACTGAAGGCAAACTATTCTACTAGTTAATTGTCCTCATTGTTAGGAAGTTTCTCCTCAATTCCAGGTTGCTTCTCTCCTTGATTAGTTTCCATCTATTGTTTCTTGTCCTGCCCCCTGGTGCTTTGAAAAATAAGTTGAACCCCACCCCCACCCCGCTTCTTTGTGCCTCTCCTGCCAGATCTGATGCGATGGGTAACAGTGAAGCGGTCGCCTGGCCCTATGCCGTACAGGACTTTAAAGGACTACAAAGGTTGGGGTTTTTTTTTTCCAAACTTGGGAACTTTAAGATTTGTGGACTTCAACTCCCAGAACTGAGTTGAAGTCCACAAGTCTTAAAGTTCCCAAGTTTGGACACCTCTGGTCTAAACTAAGAACCAATGTTTGGTTCATGATTGTTCCAGAAGTATTATGCCCAAAAAGGGCAAATTTAAAAACCCAAGACTTTAAGAACATGCCCTCAAGGGTTTCAGATAAAGGCCTTTCCTACCCCTTAACTGGAAAAAGTCAAGTGTCTATCAAGTAGAACCCAAATTGAGATATATTTAAGTTTAAGGTAGCCCTGTTCAGCTAGGACTGCCTGATTTCTCCAGGATTCCAATGACAGAAGTTGAAATTTACAGACAACAAAGAATCTGGAAAAGAGGTTTTTTTAAAAAAAGCTAAGCTTCACACATTACAGTACACAAAAGCACCAAGATTTTTGCACTCCTGTTCGGTTGTTCTGTCCTTCATAATCCTAGATTACCAAATACTTAGGTTACCAAGACAATCCAACTCTCTAAAATTGGAGAAAATTCCCGAATAGCAACTGATATACTTTAAACAGCTGTTAAGTGAAGGAGATTGGTAAAGGTTCATGGATGCACCAGCAGGCTTCTGACTTGTGCCAAGACCTCTCGTAATCCTGGACAAAGTTCTAGCTTTTGTTTGTTTTACCCACAAAGGGAGATAAACACACACTTGATCTTAGCTAAAAGACCTTGGGGCTAAATAACAGTTTGCTTTTAGAACTAGTAGAATATATATCAACATTTACTCAGTGAAAACAGTCACTTGATTCAAAGTGGGTAGAGAGAGAATGGAGGTAGAATTGATTCTCCATGAGTCAATATAACTTAAGAAAAATCTAATAAAATAATAACTATCGAGCCTAACTCTCTCAGGGATAATGCTATTGTTATATAGACTGAACTCTATCCAGAACCAGCATCTTGTGTCAGCATATGCAGTGTGATGCCTTCCAGATGTTTTGGACAACAAACTCTGCAACTCTTCATGTTAGAGATGGGTCTGATGAGAACTATAATGCAAAACCTTGGATAGGCAGCAAGCTTCTTGCCGTTTTGGCAAGCACTGTATATTTGATCAGTAGATTACGCAGTGCTTTGGATTTGATTTTAAGGAGGTACTTATGGAACAGGCACATCACACCTGTCTATAACTCCTTAATCCAAAGATACATTTTTCTGGATTGTATGACAGCTGGAGCAAGCAGCTGTATGATCCAGGCAAAATGCAATTTTTAGCCAGAATGCCATTTTTAGCTTAAAAATGGATCCCCATCCTGTTTGGTTTAAATAGGATGCCTCTCCTACCATCTTTCTACTCCTTTTATCATTCTTCGATATAGGGATGTGGTGGCTCAGTGGCTAAGATGCTGAGCTTGTCAATCAGAAAGGTCAGCAGTTTGGTGGTTCGAATCCCTAGTGCCGTGTAACTGAGTGATCTCCCGTTACTTGTCCCAGCTTCTGCCTACCTAGCAGTTCAAAAGCATGTAAAAATGCAAGTAGAAAAATATGAACCACATTTGGAGGGAAGGTAACAGTGTTCCATGTTCCTTTGGCGTTTAGTCATGTTGGCCACATGACCACAGAGACGTCTTCGGACAATGCTGGCTCTTCGGCCTTGAAACGAAGATAAGCACCGCCCCCTAGAGTCAGGAACGACTAGCATATATGTTTTAGGGGAACCAAACCTATCATCCTTTGTCATCTTGATAAGAGTGATGTGACTGAGAGAAGACATTTCTCACCGTGTTGGATAATTCCGTGCTCCAGAAGTCTGCGACCGAGTTGTTCAGCCTCAGCTCTTGTGGCAGCTTCTCCTTCCTGGATCAACCAGTCAATTAGCTGCGAGGCCATGAAAGTACGCTCATATTTTGCTCCTTCTTCTTCTCTGGCTTGTAAAATAACATTTTCAGTATTCATAAGCCTGCAATGAAAGTAGGGAATGGAAAGGGGGGAAAATCAATGCACACACCAATAGAATAGAATAGAAAAAATAGAGTAGAGTAGAGCAGAGCAGAGTAGAGCAGAGCAGAGCAGAGCAGAATAGAGTAGAGTAGAGTAGAGCAGGAAACTTTGTCACTTTAAATGTACACTAATCAGCATATATTAAAATGAAATTTCATTGCGTCCAGCTCTCTTAGATTATGCCATTATGCATATACCCACACACACATATATGACACAGAGAAACAATACAGTCTAGTTTGAATGGAGGGGGGGAAATATCTTGCGAGTTTACCAGACGGATGGCATAGGGAACAAAGCGGTTACATAAACTGGTAGTCCTGCTAGAAATACTTTGAAACCTCCCCCCCTCCCCCCCCCTCAAGACGGGAGCAACAGAAACAGATTGTAAAGTGGGTGTGTGGGGCCTGTAACAATGCCTTGAGCTCTAAGCACATAGCGCTTATAAGCAGTATCCTGGATAACGGGAAGTGACCTTCCTATAATCTTCTCGGCTGTCCTGACTACTCTCTGTGTGGACTTTCTATCTGAGGCACTGTTGCCACCAAACCAAACAGTGATGCAGTTTGTTAAAAAGCTCTCCGTCGTGCCTCTGTAAAAAGTGGCTAGAATGAGAACGATGCCCTCTCCTCATCCGACACAGGAAATGCAAACGCTGGTTTGCACACTTCCCTAAAGATAACGTATGCAGAGACCAAGCCAGATTGTTAGTTATCTGCACCCCTCAGATGCTATTGACCATTTCCACAGTGGCGGCCTTGACATAAAGGGGATTATGATTATGCCGTCTCTTACTAAAATCAACAATGATCTCCTTCGTTTTGTTAACATTCACAGAAGAACATCATACAGGTAGTCCTCCACTTACAACTGGTCATTTTTACAGCTCAGAATGGGCGTTTTATGACCTATAAAGCACTTCTGAAGGTTGTAAAATATCATAGCAATAGCAATAGCAGTTAGACTTATATACCGCTTCATAGGGCTTTCAGCCCTCTCTAAGCAGTTTGCAGAGTCAGCATATCGCCCCCACAGTCTGGGTCCTCATTTTACCCACCTCGGAAGAATGGAGTAGCAATAACAATAGCAATAGCAATAGCAATAGCAGTTAGACTTATATACCGCTTCATAGGGCTTTC